CATGGACAACGAAAGGGAAGTGCCCTGACCCCAAGCACAGCTAGGACTGGCCAAGAACACAGTCCCCAGTGGGAATGGCCAATAGCTCTGCTCCAGCTCCCTAGGCCTCAGTATTTCCAACCCGACACAAGGAGCAATCCACCCCGTGGTCAAACGTCGCACCCGACACAAATCTGTCTACACGATCACAAAACTGATATCCAAGACCTGTGTGCCAGGTTCTGTTCCTAGGACTCAACTCCTACCTGCTCAGATTTGTTCTCTGCCCCTCCCTTCACTAGAGGGAAGTGACCAAACAGGCCCAAGACTGCCCAGAGCAGGGATAAGGGGTCTGGCTGAATCTGTGATTCAGACTACTTACTACTGGTTGCCTCTTAGAATTCCAGAAGCCCAGTGGACCTCCAAAACAGTCATGTAAACAGATGTCAGTGCACCCCACTTCATCCGTGTGCAGACATAACCTACAAGAGTGACTAACATGCTAACAACACCCTGTAGAGGAAAGAGCAAGCGACAGTCCATTAGACAAAGTCATAAAGTAGCAACTTAATGAAGATCCAGCCACAAGATGAGTATTTTCTTTCTCTGACAAACATTTTATCAAAATAATCAAAGCGTTGTGATCTTTTAACAAGACCATACTTCCTTAGTCATCAACAGCTGTATCTGCTGGATAAAGCTCCCAAGAAATAATTATCATAGAAAACCAGACTGCCACTAAATGTTGCTTAACTAGATGTGGTATTTGCCACTACGTGTATGGAAATGTATGTAAGTCATATATAAACAAAGCAAATGCAAATGCACAAGTTAAAGGTTGCATTCCAAGTATGAGGATCTCAAAGGAGGCCCAACCTAGTGTGGATTGTGCAAATAATCATGGTTGGGCAGGCTTGCCCCACCCTCCCGGCATCACACAGGACTGACCTCTTGCAATTCCCCGCGTGCCATTCTTCCTTCACTGGCTGCACCTCCCAGCAGCCAGACCACAGCTGGACACACTGGACAAGACACACTGGACAGACAGAGTGAAGAAGAAACTAAAACCACATAGGGCCAGGAAGCTCCGCAAGATAGAGAGGACACACTGGAGAAGGGCACCCCCCACAAAGCCACAAGGACCAGTTAACAAGGTGCTGATCTTCACCCCATCACCCACAGCCTAATATCTGCAACCCCCAGCCTGACTCCCACTCCCTCCCCAACGCTCCTCCAAAGCCTTATGAATAGAGAAGCAGGATCAGAACAAACCGCATCTGCTCCCAGACTTGTGTACCCCACAGGCTCCAGAGATGGAGACCTTCGCCTCACTTTGCTCTGGCCCTATGGGTACTTGGACTGATAAAGTGACGAGGCAAGAGAGTGCAACACACACTGCCCTATTCTCTAATAAAACCCAAAATACTGAGGATGACTGAACCGTTGGTATAATTTTTAAGTTAAGCAGCTTGATTTGCTGGCAGGGGTCAGGGAAGCTCAAGGGGCTCCACAGGAGCCTGGGGGATTCCTGGGTTCCATCCATTCCACTCACTCAACTATCACAGTCCTACTTCTACAATCCCCATAAAACCAAATTCCTAATGAATAGGAGCCATGGAAAGAAAAAACTGGTCTTTGGCCTTTTTGCGGGTGGAGGTGGCGGGGATCAAATCTGGGCCTCCTAAATGCAAAGCGGACACTCAAAGGCAGAGCTCTCCCTTTGGCCCCAGGAAAATGGATTTTTAAGAGAAACCCCACTGGCAAAGGGACCAGAAGCTTAACACAGAAGCAAATGCTCTGCGCCCGGGAATGAAATTCTGTGTGCTGTGTGGTGAGGGAAGGAAATTTGGGTTTGTGTATGTACTGTTATGACAAATGGCTAAACTGAACTGTCAGTGATCAACCCCCTACTGGGAAAAAGGCTCTCAGGGAAGTATGTCGATAATTATAAAATTCTATAACCCACAAAATTAACCCGAAGACAGACCTTTAGTAAATATTCAACAATAACAAAGTATATCTTGGGGTGCACACTTTTGCAATATACAAATAAAGACTTAAGAAACTATAAAACCAAACCCCACACTCAAACTGGACTTTCTTGGCAGTTTTCTATTAATTTTGTGAAAATTTACTATGTGTGATTCACTGCCTCATTTTAAGTGCCACCTACTTAATCCATTTCAAACTTTAGGGCAAAAACTCACTTAAACAATCACTTGCAATATGAAGTGCTGATGCACTAAAGTGAGCTGTCCTGAAATTTAAAAAAAAAAAAGGTACTTCTGTTATAGTAGCTATTATTTCATAAAAAAACTCTGTATTCTACTAAAAAAATAAATTAAAAAATCTAAATATATCTAGCCTCTCTGTGATGTCATCATCCAAGAACGGGAGTCCCACCCAGGCCAGGGATATGGTTCAGTGGTAGAAACGAGCCTCCCATGGGTTGAGGCACTGAGTTCAGAACTGGGCAGGGGATGGGGGAAGAAGGCCTATGGCAAAGATTGGGGGGCAGCAGAGATAGATCACATGCACAGATGACACATTAGCCACGAAAGTTATGCTTTTTATAGTGTCCTTTTTACAGTATAGCCAGTCCTAGAGACATCTGTGTGAGCACTTCCATACCTGGAGAAAACAGGCCTTCAGAGAATAGAACTTACTTTTATTTAACAAACAATACGATCCAAATCTTAGGAAGTGAATATTCTTCAAACAAGAAGCCTTTGGGACAAGTTCTG